GTGTTGTCCTGCTGGTAATTCTCCTCGCTCTCCATCCCACAGATGTCGGGGCGAGGAACAGTCGGCGTTTCGGTGCCGTCTACTATAACAAAAGTCCAGGATTTGAAGTGATTCACGGCCTTCTGGACCGAACCATGCAGCTGCTGGAGGTGAAGGCAGGCCGCGGGGAAGGTTATAATATCCAGGCTGCAGAAGGTAAGAAGCCTTGGGAGAAAGGGGGGTGAAAAGCAAAAATACTGGAAGTTGGCTTCTGGTTCTAAACGTCTTAAGGCTGGATTTAGACTGAGAGGAGAAAAATCCCTGCAACAGATTTTTTGATATCTACAAACTGGTGGCCAACAATCAGGGTCATGAGAGGTTAAAAAGCAGGTTTTGTTCAGATTATGTAAATCCAGTCTCTGGCCAGCATTGTTGTGAGCAGAGCATCATAAATCCCACTGAGGGGGCACAGTTTCCATGGCACTTTTATCTGCAGGGTTTTTTTTAATAACTAAAAATTGACTTTCAAAACAAAAGCTTAATTTATATTAAGCCTTATGCTTAGAAGAACATTGTTATATCCAAAACCAAACCTTTAAATGTGATAATGACAATTCCATCTAATGATTATTTGACCAAACCAGATTAAAACTAGATACCGCATAACGGGAACATAATGACCCCCGCACACACAAATGCACCAGAACTCAGAAGTCTTTATTCCTAATAAATGTCATGCTACGAGGTGCATCCCATAATTTTAGTGGTTTGGGCAGGGGTCTTATTTTTTATTTTTTATATATTTTTTATTTTCTTGGGGTGGGTGTGTGTGTGGCGGGGGTGGCATTGGTTGACCTGATGGATAGCCCCTCATCAGAGCTAAACAACCAATGAAAATCGGAAGCTCCTATGTTTAATAGTTTTTGAGCAATAACCATTTTTGTTTGTCCAGATACCCCTTTTTCAGATAAATTGGGGGTCTGGGGGGGGCACTGATTGGTGGGCCTGATGGATAGAGCTTCATCAGAGCTAAACAACAAAAGAAATCTGAAGCTCCAATGTTGAACAGTTTCTGAGTTAGAAGCATTTTTGCATGTCCAGACACCCGCTCTTTGGATGGAGCCATCTCCTCAAATGTGGGGTCTATCGTAAAACCGTTGGCTGGTGCAGTGTAGGTCGGCCTCATTTACAACCCTGCCAAATTTCATGTTGATCGGTGCAGCTGTTTTTGTGCTACGGTTGACCAAAAATCACTGAAAAAAAAAACTGTACGAAAACAATATGACTCCCGCTTGCGCTTTGCGTGCGGGGGTCCTAATAAAACAACTTTTAGTTTACGTTTAACTCTTGTCCTATGGAAACAGCATGAACACAAGATATTTAATGTTTTGTTACTTGCTCTCAACTTTACATGCCAAACAAAGTACAAATAAAAACAATTTTTGCCCTGTAAAAATCGTAAAACTAACAATAACTCAACAGATAGTTTTACCCATGATTGAGTACAAAAGCATCATTCATAATATGCTGAGTCTGCAAGGAGCAAATATAGACATGTTTTACGTCTGTCAACAACAGCTGAAGAAAAATTATTAAACTGTTGAAACACAATGTTTTTCCAAAGAAAATTTGGAAGAGACTTTCTTGTTTCTACATCTGCTCTTTAAATGCTTTGACTGTAGTGGTATTTGTATCCATGAGCATGAGAGCAAGCCAAATATAGACAGGTGTGATCTAAGTGATTAAAAGCTGATAGGGAATGTACGGCGTTAAACCCAGTATGATTTTCTGTATGATTCTCTCCTTTATGTGACTGCAGGAAAGTTGGAACAAAATGTTTGTTTGTGGTTCTCAAACTGAGGTACAAGTATCTTTGGTGGTACTCAGAAGACATTTTGGTATTCACAGGTTAAATAACAAGCTAATTACCTGTCCTTAACTCAACTGTGATGTAAGTCAAAGTGTCAAAAAGACAGGTGGTATAAACTCATGATGATCTTGGTGCTAGGGCTGCGTGGTATGTGCGGTAGACGGTAGAAACGGTATGAAGTTGGCTTACGGTAGAAATATACCCTCTACCGTCCTATCGTCAGTTACGTCATCGCACCTGTGTCAACAGGGCTGTGAATGCAGAGACACCTGAGCTGTAAGAGTTTGAAATATAATGAAGAAATCAGTGTTTTAAAACGCGTATAGAGAGAATAAATCCTCAAAATTCCCCCCTGCCGCTGTAGAAAAGAAAAGTTACGTCGTGATGTGGGATCATTTCCACCCCCACTCTCGCTGCTCGTTGCGCAGAGCAAAGCTTTAATAACCGTAGTTTTTTCACACCCAAGTTGTCGGAGAAAAAACTTGTTTTTAATGTATTGTTATCCACAGAGGTGATTAAAAAAAAAGACGTGGACGTTCGTTCAGTCATAAATCCATCTTGCTAATGTAGCCTAAAGTCAGCTTCTGCTCTGATGATGAAGATGAGAGCGCAGCAGAGCAACAGCCGATAAGTTCAGCAGGCAGAAGCTCATTGTATGGCATGCAGATATTACATTTATTTGGCTTCACCACACTTACATTCCAGTTATCTGAAATTGTTTTATGACAGGACTATGTGCAGCTTAAGGTCCTGTCACACTATAATATTTTAGTCAACAGTGAATAGTTTTGTGTCTAAATGACTAATTTTACTTGAAGTACTGGTAGGAATGTGCGTGATATGGCAAAAAATTCATATCACGATATACATTATGATGAGTGGCGGTAACGATATATATCACGATATAAAACTTATAATAGAAAATAAATAAATCACACATCAATTGAGTGGAATAAATATGTATAGGTAAAAAAATTTAGACCTTAAAATCTCCTTTTTTAAGGGACACTTTAAAGTCTCCCATATATATATA